ACCCTGAAGTTGTTTTATCCTATCTTTCTTTCTTCCCTTTCTCTGGGGAGCTTTTGTACTACCTGTGATGATTAGTGATGTTTCACAGACATCGGGGTTAAGCAGCACTCAGGCAAGCTCCAAGTGAGCTCTAGCATCTTGCTGTCCAAACAGCAAAACCCTTAGCTATGGAGCTAAAGGGGAAAAAAAGCCTTCCGACTTGGCAGTAGGCTTAATGTTTGTTTATCCCTTAATCCTAAAGCAGGCTTGCAGCAATTAGAAACGAGAATCTCACAAACCATTCAAAAAATACTGCTACTTTATTTTATATATACCTTACTTTATTATATATATACCCTAATTTATTATATATATACCCTACTTTATTATATATATACCCTACTCCTCTGTGATTCAGTGACCTACAGAAAATGGCCTGCATGTTTTTGTAAAAATTAGCATAAGCAAAAAAGTTACCTTTTTTTTGGGTACAGATAATGGGTAGTTTACCAGCTCTACCTCTGTCTTTACCGTTTTATCTACCAGCCACATTAAAACACGTAAGTGACCAGTGTTCTTGGTCACCTGACTTCACGTTTGTGGCATTATTTCAAGCAATATGCACAGGTCCTGTGGCTAACTGAGTTCTCATCTAGGAAAAGTCTACTTGGGAGGGTATCATGGTCCCTACACTAGGTTATTGAAAATACATTTAAACTCTTTAAAGCTTATTCATGATTATAACAGACTGGTCTTCTCTAGAGTCCACCCAGATAGCCAGTGCCTCTACTGCTTGGTTCCCCAAAACCTGTGGCTGACAACTGAGAACCATTTAGGCCCACTGCTCATTTCATAAGCACATATGGTACATGTCTGTTCATTGCCACTTTTATGTGCTGGTTCATATTTGACTTAGGGTTATGTGGTGAAAGTACAGGAGGCTGCTGAAGAGAGCAAGCACACTACTACTGAATGCTGCACAAAACCACTTCTGAGACTGAATTTTCCTTTCAGATCACTTAAAAAGCAAGCCAATATTCCCAGCCATCAGCAAGGACATGGTATGTAACCCATTCTTTACATGGATTCCAGTGCATTTTTGCTGGGGGTGTGGAAAGGGGAATGGCAAATGCTTTCCAACCTTCCACGGGAGAATTGTTACTCCAACTTCTTTCCTGGCTTGTGTACATTGAAAAGGAGGCAATCTTAGTCCTCCCTCCAGCTACTTCAAGCCCTGCTTACTGACAGCATCTGTGGATGTCCTAAGCTGTACACAGGCACTACTACAACATCCACACTTGGGTACTGTTAGTTTCATTCCTTTTTGCTGTGCTAGTGGAGGTTGCTAAGTGATTTAAAACCAAGTTAACAAAACTGAGTTTTGCTATATAATATAGAAGTTAACACTATAGTGTGGGCCAGTTCTAGATAAAGTATCTGCATCGGCCTTCCCTGATCCAGACACACTTCCCAAGGAGGTTGAGACTCTTTGGGAAACTAGAGTATTTCTATTCTGTATGCACTTGCTTGCTGCCTTTAGTTCTAGGTATAATATCCACCCTGCATTGCAAAAATTCTTTCCATTGCTGAGAAATATACTCTGCTTAGGACTTTCTATCCCAAAAGCATTTGATGAGTTTTTCCTCCCCTTCCTCCTTCTCCCCTTTCATTTACTGCTTTTCCCTTCTGACATCAATACAGTAGAAGGAAACAAAAATCTCCCACAATGAGGCCTTGTTGTCTAAACTTCATTGCTCTGGTTTTCAATAATGAGTGATGCATTTACACATCCCTTCAAGCATATAACTGAATGGGATGATGGTCATTTTGTGGGAAGAATATTCTTCCCAAAAGCTTTTAAGTGACAATGTACAATGGTGATGGCTTGTATAAGATGCTACATGGAGGGATTCTGTTAAATTAAAAAGTATTTGCTGTCCTCACGCCAGCATTAAGAGGCATTACTTGCTACCAGCATCCTCCTCCTGCTCATGGAAGGCCAAGTATGGGGGAAAAGGTAGTAACTCATGCAGAAGAAATTGAGGAAGCAAAGAGTTTACAAACGAACCTTGTGACCAAACCAGAGCAGAGGTGGTGTGAAACAACTATTATGAGATTGTTAGAGACTTCTTTAATTTACAAGAACACGAAAAAGCAGGTAAGTAAGTATAAAAAGCAAAGATGGCTTGAAATACTTCACCATTTACTTAGTTTCTAATACTAAAAGCAAACCTACATCTTTAAATTTAAAATCAATGTTTTCTAATTCTTCCACTTCAAACATTTTGAGCTTTTTCGGGCGGTAAGTTGATACATATCTGTTAAGTTTTTTCTGACAAGTACTTTCTGTTTGTCACTGCTATTGGTGATGCTGTGATTTTGCCCAAACTTTAAAATCAGCCACAATATTTGGGTAAACACAAGGAATGGAAATTTAAATATCTGAAAGATAAATGTAATTTAAAACTATTTGTGCTAAACATCTGATGTTATGGTGTCAACAAGAACCATCGTAACAGTTAACAAACAATGAAAGCAAAGAGAAAAGTAAACAAGATCTTAAATGACCTGCTGTACTTTTAGTTGTGTCTTTTTTAATAACCTACGATGTTCTGTAGTCACAAAGACAAACATTATATAGTTTACTGTTTATAATGTCCCCTTTTAACAGTGCATGCTAGGCAGAAGAGGGTAGAAAGCACAGTACTAGGAATTATTCCTTACAGATGCAGCTAAAATCTCTTAACAGAATTTGGATACTCACTGTCTAAAATCCCCTTTTCTTTGCATCACATCCTACCTTTTTTAGTGAGGCAAAATGTGAATGAAATTAGAATGCCAGGACTTCAGAATCATAATCTCTTTTGCTTTCAAAAATCAGATATTGTCCCAAACCCATTAAATTGTCTTTAAAAATGACAAGATTCCTATTTAAGTTGCAAGGTATACGTGTTTCCCACTTGGTGTTGGAGGCGGGAATTTGCAGACTCACCCTAGTAGTCACAGTTGTTACAAGTTAAGGTTTTAAAATAACCACATGACTTGGAGAACATCACCAAAAACTTTAGGTACAGTGAGACTGTGTCAGTGATGAGATCCAAGAGTACTGTAATATCCTTGTACTTCCTGTTTAGGAGATAGTCTCTAAAAACTGGCTAGTTCTCTCATATGGTATTTGCAATGGGAATATCATAGCGGTTTCTAGTGTAATACTTTTTCATTTCATAGAGTCATAGAATAGTTAGGGTTGGAAAGGACCTTAAGATCATCTCATTTCAACCCCCTGCTATGAGCAGGTACACCACACACTAAACTATGGCGTCGAAGGCTCTGTCCAGCCTGGCCTTGAACATCGCCAGGGTTGGAGCATTCACAACTTCCTTGGGCAACCTATTCCATGTGCCTCAGCACCCTCACTGTGAAGAACTTCTTCCTTAGATTTAACTTAAATTTCCCCTGTTTAAGTTTAAAGCCATTACCCCTTGTCCTAGCACTAGAGTCCCTAACGAAGTGTCCCTCCCCAGCATCCTTGTAGGCCCCCTTTAGATACTGGAAGGCTGCTTTGAGGTCTCCACGCAGCTTCTCTTCTCCAGGCTGAACAGCCCCAACTTTCTCAGCCTGTCTTCATACGGGAGGTGCTCCAGTCCTCTTATCATCCTCGTGGCCTCTTCTGGACTTGCTCCAACAGCTCCATGTCCTTTTTCTGTTGAGGACACCAGAACTGGACACAATACTCCAAGTGAGGTCTCACAAGAGCAGAGTAGAGGGGCAGGATCACCTCCTTGGACCTGCTGGTCACGCTTCTTTTGATACAGCCCAGGATACGGTTGGTTTCTGGGCTGCAAGCGCACACTTCCCAGAAATCACTTTGTATGATGGCAACAAGTATAAGATGATTTTAGTTCAAGTGTGTTCTTGTGCTTTAAAGAAGCAGTGTGCTTTGTCTTTATTATTATTATATTAGGGTTTACCTCTTTTTAATTGCTGGCTCAAAGCCCAGCTTTTATCCTCTCTGAAGTAGATGTTTGCAGATGTTAGATGGTCACTGGGGGTTTGATTCCACAAGGATTTACACTTAGGATTTTTAAGCAGATTGTGCTGAAGGTCACAAAAATTCTTCAACTGGGTTGTCATTTCATTCCATTTCAGTAAATGCTTTTTTAAAAGCAGAGGCAGATGGTTGCAGTCTTAGTTAGTAGGGGTTTTTTAACTACAGTACACAAAAAACTACTTTAGGGCTGTTCTCTGCCACGCTCAGTGATAAAGACCTTCCTTGCTTTGAAGAGGTTTTTGTCTCAGAGAAAGAGACAGGCAGACAGATGGCATAATGCAAGGAAAATCCAGAGTGGGAATAAATTAATAAATGGATTCATCAGTCAGCTGCATGAGTTGTTATGTACCTTTTTGTGTAACTTAGGAATTTACAGTTCTGGCAATTTAGTTTTTCATAAGCCAATTTCACATTGCAGGGTTAACCTGAGGCTCCAGGAGCCCCGAAAGAGTCCCCCTTTTAAAAGTTCATGGCTGTTAGGACAGCAGTCTGAACTCCAAGTATCACATCTGCCCTCACAAGGGGAGAAGCGCTGGCCTGCTCTGTTGAGACAACTGGATGACTGAACTGTACTCTGGTAATCCAAACTGTTAAACCTATTTGGAATAACTGATTAAGATGACACACCAGCATTATCAGTTTCATGACACAAATTAAATAGCTAGGCCAAGATTTTCACACTTACCTAGTAGGGGTTTGGTGCTGCCCTTAAGGTACATAAAGGAGGTTCACTGTTGAGGTTGTAGGATGTGCTCGCACCTCTTTGCGACCCATCTTCTGACCAGCCAGCCCATTGGGTGATGCCTGTTAGACTTCAGAGAAAGGGTAGATCCCAAATCACTAGTCATTTTTAGTGTGACATTAGTCTTTTATTCTACAACTGTTAAAAACATGCTCTACAACTTACTGCATAGATATCTGACTACAGAACTAATGCTTATTATTTTCACTTTTTTCACATAGGTTCAGGATGTTATGTCAACTGCTAATACTTGTCTTTGGAATATCACTAACTAGAGACATATGCATTTAGAAGCTGTTATTCAGAAGCCCAAGCCTCCATATATTATTATTGCAACCTCACAGATACTCCAATTGTGCCAAAGGATACAGTGAAGCTTTTGCTAACTTTCAACTACATCACACAAGTGACTGCAACTTCGTTTTCACTGCTGGAGCACTTGTTGCTGTTGGAAACTGGAGCACAGTATGTCTATCCTGCTACCATAGGAAAAGGAGCTTTCAGGAAGCTGCCAAATCTTCGTATCTTAGACTTGCGATACAACAGAATTCTTCAACTGGATCTTGATGCTTTTGTGGGCTTGCCAAGCCTGGCTGTACTCCATCTGTTTCAGAACAACCTTGGAGATTCCATCCTGGAGGAACATTACTTTCAAGATTTGAGCTCATTAGAAGAATTGGATCTTTCAGGGAACCAAATCACAAAACTTCAGCCTCATCCCTTGTTTTACAATCTAACAGCCTTGAAAACTGTGAACCTGAAATTCAACATGATATCCAACCTGTGTGAGAGCAACCTAACCAGCTTCCGAGGAAAACACTTCTTATTTTTTAGCCTCAATTGGAATTACATGTACAAGACAGATGAAACAACGTGGGCCAAATGCCCAAATCCTTTCAGAAATACTATGTTTAACTCACTAGACCTTGGTCTCAACGGCTGGAGCACAGAGAAAGTCCAAGCTTTCTCTTCAGCCATTAAAGGAACACAAACAGGTTCTTTAATATTTAGCTTTCATATAATGGGTTCTGGATTTGGGTTTAACAACTTAAAAAATCCAGATAAGAATACGTTTGCAGGACTACCAAGAAGTGATCTTCGTTTGCTTGATATTTCAAATGGTTATATTTTCTCTCTCAATTCTTTAATCTTTCAAAGCCTTTGTAGTCTGGAATTGCTGAACCTTTTCAAAAACAAGATAAATCAAATCCAAAGGCAAGCATTTTTTGGCTTGGAAACCCTAAAAACTCTCAATCTCTCAAGTAATCTTTTAGGTGAGTTGTACGATTATACTTTTACAGGTCTACACAGTGTCGTGTATGTTGATCTACAGCAAAATCATATCAGGATGATTGGTGAGAAATCATTCAGTAACTTCGTAAGTCTGAAAATAATTGATCTCCGAGACAACGCCATTAAAAAGCTCCCTTCCTTTCCACATCTGACCTCTGCCTTTTTAGGTGATAATAAGCTAATGTCCATAGCTGGCAAAAAACTATCATGAACATACCTTGAATTAGAAAGAAATAGGTTGGCAAACCTGGGTGACTTGTATATCCTTTTCAAAGTTCCAGATGTGCAGTATATCTTCTTAAAACAGAATCACTTCTCCTACTGTGTGAAAAGTGATAATGTTATAGAAAACAAACAGTTAATCTATATGGATCTAGATGAAAATATGTTACAGCTTGTGTGGGAGAGAGATTTATGTTTGGATGTGTTCAAGGGACTGCCCAAACTTCAGGTTCTACATCTGAATAACAACTACCTTAGTGCTCTTCCACAGGAGATTTTTAGAGGTTTAACATCCCTAAAAAGACTTAATCTAGCTTCCAACCTATTGTCCCATCTTTCTCCTGGGCTTTTCCCACAAAGCCTAACAAACTTAAATTTATCTGGAAACCAGCTTTTTTCCCCTGAGCCTGAAGTCTTTATGACTTTGAGTATTCTGGATATAACACATAATAACTTTAAAGAGCCGACTAGTGTGGCTAAATGAAACCAACGTAACCCTAGCTGGCTCAGAGTCTGACAGGTACTGTGTATATCCACCTGCATTTGCAGGGGTACCACTGTCATCTTTGACATATGGTGGTTGCAGTGAAGATGAACTCCAGCAGAAACTCAGGTTCTCAGTATTTGTCTTCACCTCCACCATTCTTCTAATGTTTCTGATGGCAGTAATTATTTTTACTCGCTGTTTTGTCTGGTATAAAACTATCACCAAAAAAGTGATAGACAGGCATCCAAAAGTAGCAGATAAAAGTGAATACGAATACAATGCATAGTTGTGCTACAGCAAAAAAGACTTTGATTGGGTCCAGAATGCTTTGCTGAAGCACCTGGATTTGCAGTATTTTGATAAAAACAGATTTACCTTGTGCTTTGAGGAAAGAGATTTCTTGCCTGGGGAAGAACATATCAACAATATTTGGGATGCCATTTGGAACAGCAGGAAAACAATTTGCATTGTGACCAGGCAGTTTCTCAAAGATGGGCGGTGTGTGGAAGCCTTTAATTTTGCCCAGAGCAGGTACTTTTGTGATCTGAAAGATGTCCTCATTATGGTAGTGGTTGGGTCCCTTTCTCAGTATCAACTGATGAAACACAAACCAATTCAAAACTTCTTACAAAGGAATCATTATCCGCAGTGGCCTGAAGATTATCAAGATGTAGACTGGTTTTTAAATAACGTTTCTTGCCAAATTCTGAATGAAAAGAAAGTGCGAAGGAAAGCCAAGGGTATAGAGCTGCAGACTGTTGCAACACTCTCACATTGATAGTGTGTGGGCCACTGGCTTTCTAAATAGCCCATTTCAAGCTGTGCCATGGTAGGAATAAACACAAGTTGGCTTCAACTTTCCTTGGAAAAGCAGGTAGAAAGAACTGTTTCAGTATAAATCCTGCTAAACATGGACACTGCTTGAATTAAGCCAGCAAATATGTGAAGGTCCAGCTATTTTATAGGCTACGATCCACATTTTCAGAAGAATCAAATGAATCACAGGTGCTTCACATTTCGGATGCTCAGCTTCAGACACTAAAGACTTCAGAGTAAAAGTCCTGATTTTTGGAGTACTAATTACTGACAGGTCTGTTTCAGTTAGAGAAGGTTGTTGTTTTAAATAGAGCCCATGGTAATGTGCAGGAGTGACCAAGTACACTTTCATGTATGGCCTAGCCTGACCATCAGTTCACGGATTACCTACTCCTGTGCTTTCTGAACTCAGTAACTTCTCATGCTCTGTTTCAAAGTAGAACCAGTGCTTTGCACCTTTATGCTTTAAATAGGTGTAACACAGACTTCATTTCTTTTTCTGCTCAATTAGCCTCAGCTTCTCAACTGGAACATACAAACTCTGAACTTCATTCATCCCCTTCACCTCCACAACTTCTCTGCTTGGTGGTAAAACGAGGGTCATCGGTCCAATTCATCTGCTGCTAATCCAGCCTGGTGCTTTTTCAGTTGTGCTGCCTCCTGCCCTGCAGAAAGGAACAAGTATCCTCAAACTGCTGAAGCAAGGCTGGGCTTGAAAAGCAAACAAGAAACTACCTCAACAGCCATGTGGGCTGTACACCAGTGACATGGCCAATGTGACTGCCCGACAGTGACTGACCAACAGCTTTCACATCCTGGGAGTGGAAAGTACAGACAACCGGTGTGTAATTTGTGTTGTTCATCCTGTGTCCTGATGAATTCTAAGGTGTTTTTCTGCTTCTGATGAAAATTGCCAACCTCATGAAGTTTAACCAAGCCAAGTGCAAGGTCCAACACCTGGGTCAGGGCAACCCCAGGCACAGCTACAGGCTGGGTGGAGAAGAGATTCAAAGCAGCCCTGCGGAGGAGTTCGGGGTGTTGGCTGAGGAGAAGCTTAACATGAGCCGGCTTCAGTGTGCGCTTGAGCCCAGAAACCAACCGTATCCTGGGCTGTATCAAAAGAAGCGTGACCAGCAGGTCCAAGGAGGGGATCCTGCCCCTCTATTCTGCTCTTGTGAGACCTCACTTGGAGTATTGTGTCCAGTTCTGG